TAAACGGGTAAAGCCCTATAACATACTCACAAAATAGATATGTACACTCTCGACCCGTCGTTTCAGACATTTTCAGATACTCATCTGATACGTCTGCGGCAATGTCGTATGCCAATTGTCTAAGAGCGGCCATACATTTTTGTATTGTAGTAAAATCGCGTTTACCTCTAGCATACCCATCGTAATTGGAAAAATTCATAATTACGTGCCAAATCTCTAGCTATTCGTAAAAATAAATTTCTACTAATACGAAAACGTTCTTCAAATTTCGATAGATCATATAAACTATCAACGGCAAAATAATCACGTACCAAAAGTTAATGTGCCGCCTCTCGATCCCGGTTGATCCATTTTCTATGCTTCTTCTCGACGTTTGAACTTTCGCCTCTTTCATGTACCATGTCTCGTGCCGCAGACAACAACGTATACAAAATCAAATCCTCATCAGAATCGTTATCATCGGATGACGAAGAAATCGGAGGTGGAAAATTATCTAATTTTTTGGTTGAATGTGTATGTTTGTTTTGAAGTAATATGGGTGTGTTTTAGTGGAATTTATGTGTAAAATGAATGTATATATAGAGAGAATTTGAAAAAAAGAATAAAAACATTTTTTTAATTGACAAACGATCGAAACAATCAAAGCAACCGTCCAAAATTGAATTGACCAATCAAAGGCTCCCTCTTCCGCCTCACGTCACACACACCCCACCGGAGTTTGGGGCGGTGTTCACGCGTCTTGGGTTGTGCCACGTCAGCCTTCACGCGTCTTCTTCTTCCCCATAGCGGATAGCCTTATGGGTCGTCAAACCTCAATCACATTATTATGTCAGTCCACTCCTCAAGTATTAATTGTTTCACTATTATTCCAATAAGCAAAACAAAAATTTCCTAAAATTTTATCCTTCCACTCCTATTATTGATTTTCTTGACATTTATCATTATCTTATTTTATCATTCTACATTTATATTATCCTATAAATAAAAAAATAAGTATTAATATTTGGTAGAAAGATATTGAACCTCACTATCAATAACTTTTATATATATATATATATATATATATATATATATATATATATATATTATGCCATTAAACTCCTTCTACTCCTATTTATTGATTTTTTTGCCATTTATAATTACCATATAACAACATTGGGCTACACATTGAAATAATAAGTAATGGTTATTATAATTTAAAACCTCGAATAGGGAAATCGTTAGTCATGCGCGTTGCAGACTACATATTATGAGTCTTTTTGTAGATTTATCAATAAACGATAAATTAACGTTTTCGATAGAAGATTATTTAGGATAAATAATCTTGATGAAGTTGTAGAAGTCGCGATGGTGATTTCGTAGATATATGGAACGCTCGAATCCGACTTCGTATGAAGGAGTTATGCTTCTTCGAAGTCTCGTGAATAGGAATCCGTCGATATAAAGACAGTCGAGAACGAAAGTTGTATGAGAGAGTTATGATTTTTATACGGACTTTAACAGTCTAAGCCTGTTAAAAATACAACTTTAAATATAAAGTGAGAATTAATCGAAAACGAAAGGTGCAATACTCATCGATAGCTACGTGTGGATATAAAGAACGTCGAAAATAGAGCTAGTATGGGAAATATATGATTTTTCAAAGTTTTAAAAATTCGAACTCGTGTGCGCATACACGGAGCAGGGGCACGTCACGCCTGTGTTCTAGAAGGGGTGACGTGGACCGACAAACTTGCCACATGCTGCAAGAAACTGGGGGAACGACGTAGCACCAATGTGCGGTGCGCCTTCAGAAAGGTGTGTGACACGCCTCCTGATGATTATATAAGCATGCCCAAATTTCCGTCATTTTCACACATTTTCACTCTTATTTCTCTCTGGAGACATTTTCTTATTTTAGTCCGGTTTTTTTGGGGTTCTTGAGATATTTTAGTGGAACTCTAATGAGTCTAGGATCTCGACGAAAAAGAGTTTTTAGGTCGGAGTTCTGCCTGTGTAATTTTCTGGTTTTCGCTAAAATTCTTGTAGGTTAAGCTACACTTACTATACTTTAAGTGTAACTTATATTTATATTCATAGTCGTTATTATTGTAACATCTCAATTTCCAGGTATTTTACATTTTGACCCTTGGTATGAGTATTGTTTGCAAATTTGGTCTCGCATGGCATTTTTGTAAATTTTGGGAACTCCTTGTGTACGTTGGGCGTACCCAAGCGTTTGTTGGGCGTACGTGGCCTGGACCAAAACCCTAATATTTAGGGTTTGTGCACTATTTATACATCCTTAACTCTCAAGGCTCATTTTATTCATCAACCTCCTGCGAAGTTGTGCTCATCGAAAGGAGGAATCTTATTGAGGCCAAAGGACTTGGGATTGTAGGAAGTCGACATGATAACTTGAGTGTATCAAAAACCTGCACTGATACCAATTGAATGTTAGTATCGGTCGGATACACTTTAAGTAAAATAAACAAAGAACAAGTAAACTAACTTAAACAAACAAAGAACATAAAAAGTAAAGAACACGAGATATTCACAAAGTTGTCTTTCACAAAGAAAGGGTTTTGTTTTCACCAAGAAAACGGGTTGTCACAAAGACGGTCACCAAGACTTACATTAGGGTTTCACCCTAATGTTGTATATATACTAATCTATACTAGTATACCTCTTAATTGAAGAGATTGTATCTAATCTATACTAAGAATCGATCATTATCACAAAGATGCGCATTTGCTTAGAGCATTAGGTATGGGTCACGTTATAACACCAAATTCAATTGCCACCTCAATCATAACACCACCATAACACCAAGGGGGGAATGGTATTCCCCATGTTATAACATGCTAAGAGGTAGAGAGAGAAAGAAAGAAAATGATTTGATTGGTTGATAAAGGCAACAGTCATTTAAACTTCTCGTTTCATCTCGTCTTCGTCACAACGAGATATGTCATAACAACACCTTAACGAGAAAGAGGGGGGGGGGGGTGTTCACCGTGTTATGAGGTGCCACCTCATCCATAACTCCACTTCTCGTTGCCCACACCGTATGCTCTTAAACACACATGTGCGAAAGGAGGAGAAGGTTTCCGACAGTTCCCAGAGTCATCTTTAAGACTGCGATTGGAGAATGGAGTGTCGCAGTTAGGGCTTTTAGTTTTAACATTTTAGCTTTGTTTTCTCTGTTATTTGTGGGCTTTATAAAAGTTTAGATATAGTAGAATTTGTGAGCTTTTTGAATATGAGGAGTTTAAACGATGATTAGGATTTGTAAAGTTTTGATTTTAGATTAAGATTACTAATTTTTTATAACGGTTTTCTTTCAAAAGCTAGAAGTATCATCTTATATTTCTTTTTAAAAAAATATATATTTTTATATAAATAATGTTTTAATAGTAGATCTATCATGTTCTTATTCAAAAAAGCTGGGGGCCATGCCCCTTAGTACAATATGGTTGGTGGTGTGAGCACCATGACTCATACGTGATGTCGAGTTGAATGAAGAACCACGACGTTAACACCGTCCCTTTTACGAGTGATGTTGAGGTGGTGCGGTGTTATGTGCCCCCCTTCACATCCGACTACGTGACCTTCTCTCTTCTTTTTTCTTCAATTCATCTTCTTTCAACTTTTACCTACATGTTGACTATGCTGGTGAACACCAACCCTCTTACATATAGTACTAACTAAGGTAGTGGCATACATGGCTAATGGATCATGAATGGTGCGATGACCATACCCATCGGCCTCGACCTAACAAATACATGTGCGCGCAAACACTTACATACATACATCCATACATAATATATGCATGCATGCAATATGTTATTTTTTCTTTTTTAATTTTTCTGAGCTATTTTTGTCATAAAAGAAAACCAAAAATGTTAAAATTTATCATATATGCTCTAAGAGATGATATACATATCAATATACAATTATAAAACTTAATAACATTCTTTAATTTTATTTTTTTCTTCCCTAACATCATTTATCATAATTTTTTACTATAAATTCATCATTTCAGTTTTTCTTTTGACATTTCAACAAAGTTGTGTTTTTATATCATTCCGGTGGTTATATGATACCGAGGAGAAGTTAGAAGTTCGTGACAAGTTCGAATCTCGCCTAAAAAACTAATTCAAAACTCATGAACAAGTTTGACGGTCATCGTAGTTCCAAACTTTCTAAGTTTCAAAATATTTAATAATGTAGTCTCAAACATGTTCTTTTTTTTTTTTTTTTAAGGAAACACATGTTCAAAACTCAAAAAATAAGTTCAAAACTAATCAAATTTGCAAAAATTGTTATATCTATTTATCAAATGTGATAAATATTCAACAGCGTTTATGAATGTAGAAACATTCTTTGTCAAATTGTTTTTGCACTTGCTAATCGCTACTTTTCTAAAGTCATTATTCACATAGTTAATATAGTTATATTTGATAGAGTAATGTAATTAATATCATTAACAAATTGATTTTAAGATATGCAGGTTAAAATAACTAGAAACTTATTTTTCCAGTTTATTCAATTCGTTACGATCTTTTGGAGTTTGGACCTCTCCTAAGAAATCAAATTTACCAAATAAAATCTTTAAATTAACAGAAACAAAATATCTAACACGTCTATTCTTTCACCTTATTTTCAGCTATATATTCAAGCATGGAGATCATATCAATACTATTTTTCGTTTAATGTTTAATTAAATAAACCAACACATCCAACTCAATGCAAAAGAACAAGAATAAAAAATCTATTAATTATCACAATAGTAGATATCCTTGTCAGTTTTCAAAATAAATACTTATTGGCAAAAAACAAATTTGGATTAGAAAGTACATATTTTTATTTATTTTAAGACAGGAAAATTGTTTAATTTATTTTAGAATGGTCAACGCTAAAGCAAAAATTAAATCCCAAAGTCAACAAAATGAAAAGTAGACAAGGAGGAAGGAAGTTGACATTTGACAAATTGAGTTTCACCAAATTCAAATTACCTTTACTTTTTTCTTTTCCAATTATAATGCAAGAAAAACACAAGAAACAAACTTTAAACTTACACCACTTGAAAAAGAAAAAGAATCTGTTCTCTACCAGTTTCATTGAATTCCTTTGTTTATACTACCTTTTCCCCAATGAGCTATATATACCAAATTTCATGAACATGGTTATGGTATATTTACCAATACCATGACCATCTATGTGTAGTTCAAAACCCGCTTTACAATGAGTATCTTCAAGGAGCTAATCCTACTACTCCTACTCAATACCTATCATTTTTAAAACAAAATCACCCACTTAAATAAAATACCACATGTTAATATATCATGATATAATATGTTGGTAATGATATTGTACCTTTTAGAGGGAAAAAGGTGAGGTGAGGTCACTCCTTATTTGATTTAGTCCAGAAAAACCCTTTTCTCCGGGAAAAATCATTATCAGACATTGACATGGATCGACTCCCTTTGGAACCACCGAAAGAGAAGTGTCTCTTTAAAAAAGGCGTTTTTGGTTTCCCCACAGAATTCTTCATGCTAGAGCTTGAACTCATCTTATTTCTACTCTTGCTACCACTATTATCAAACATAATAATATCATCATCATCACCATCACCATCCACCACCCGGCTTCTAGTTCTTGATTTCTTCCTACTAATAATCTTAGCCTTCAATTCCATCTCCGCTTTTATTGCTTTTTCCGACATTTTAAAAGTCTGTTTCTCACCAAAAGTACAAACAGGACATGCGGGATCATACTTGTTGATCTCATCCGTCATATTTTCCAAACACTCCGCATGATAAACATGCCCGCATATCAAAATAGCCACAACCACCAGCTCATTATTGGCTATAATCTTCTGTGTTCCCCATGACGACTTTTCTGTTAAAAGCTTGGAACACGCGCCACATGTCTGCATATCAATGGACGGAACACCCCCACTTGATCGGCCCATTTTAAAGTTGAGAGACTCGCTATCGAAAGAGTCGTTGCTGGAAGCGGGTATGGGTGCGGGTGCGGGTGCGGATATGGACCACCCGTCTGAAGATCCACGGTTTAATTCGTTGCTCCACCCGGACCCGGGGCCTTCTTCTGAGATTGAGAGATTTGAGGACTTTGTAGATGGGATCCGGCTGTGTGACACCTGGCGACCCGGGGAACAGGTGGGATGTCTTGATGGGGATGATAACTTGGTTGGGTTTTTAGAGAGAGACTGGTCTTCTGCAAGGACAAGTGGAAAAACATGAGATAAGCTCATATATATGCAATTGCAAACACTATAGATAATATATATAGAAAGGTATAATATTTTATTTACTGAGATAAATTTACCTGATTGAGGAACTGGATATCCTTCAGAAGGTGATGACTTTTGCCACGTCAGATTTCTAAAACTTTCCAATGGACTACCCTCTTCTGATGCATAAGCAGTTCCAACAGTTGTTTGAGATTTATTGTCCAGCCTGTCATTTGTGGCAACAGTAACAGTATCAGAATACCAAGTCATGGAAGCTTCTTCACCTGCTACACGCCTCCTATTCTCCCACCTAACACCCCATGATGGAGAATACCGGATATTTCTTGGGATCACATCACTACTTGATCCATTTGTTATAGCTCTTCTGTCTCTAGCAGCAACACAACAAGCAGACCCCATTTTCACTCACTCACTTGCAAATTGTGTAACAATTACTTTTTGGCCAATCAGTATAGCATTTTCTGTGATCTGAATATTCATGAGAATGATGATTTTGTTAAGAAAAAGTATTGAAATGATGGAAGATTGAAGCTGGATATGGCTAAAGATGATGACTTTTTGGGGGTAAAGGAGAGATTGAGTAAAATTAAGCATCAAACTATGGTAAAACTGTAAAAGTTAAAGGGGTAAGTATTAAGAAAAGATAAGAAAGTGATGAGATGCATTTAATGATGTTTGGGATTGGGAGACTTGCTTTTACTGAAATACAGAAGGACTGATTGAACAATAATTCAGATATTAATAGCTCTTCGTTTGGATAAGTAAATCATTAATAAATTATGGAAAGCATATGATATTCTGCTTAAATATTGAAGTCCTGGTACTATTTCAGTCAATAATACAAGCTCAAATAAGCATATGTCAGCCTGGACCCATGTAAAGACAAAAATAGCAGAAGATACAAGTGTAGAGTCTCACATATGTCTGTTGCAGTAGTACTATTACTACCTTATGATGTGAGCCTATCAAATTAAAACACCAAATGAGGATAAATGAACGAACAGAGCCAAATAAGTATTTGGCTAATTACAAAGACGGTATATTTGTAAATGAACAGGTCATGTTTCTGATTCAAGTATGGTTCAGAAATGCAAGAAACAGCTTAAAACATTGAAACACCATGCAATTTGGAGCTAAATATAGATAATTTCCAATTCAATAATGATTTAACAAAACTCACTTTCTACTCCAACAATTTTACCAGAGTTCTATACCTAGAAAACTCTACAATCAATGAAACGCCAGATAATCGATAAAAAATTGATTAATAGAAACAATTAAATACTATTCCCTAGAAAAAAATATATCGCGTAGATAGCGTCTGCTAATTTGCAGGATGAAGGAGCTTAAAGTTGGTAATCAGTCACAGTAACCCTAGAAATAAAGCGAATCAAACACTTAATAGCAAGTAGAGATCCGAAATAACTGCCGATGAACAAATAGTACAGTCGATTTATCAAATGACAAAACTAAAATTAAAAAAACCTAATTATTTCGACATATATAGCATCCAATTAACGAAAACCCCAAGCAATCCTCGTAGACATATACAAATAATGCATCATTTGCATCCATATATATGTACGCACCTGCACACATCAAAATTGCAACCAGCAGAAACTGATATCACAGAACATACCTATTCACCGGTTGCCGGAGACACCAGAGAGAAAGAAGTGTCTGCTCCAGGTGAGAAAAAGGTTATATAGTGAGAGAGAGAGAGAGAGAGAGAGAATCCGATTCTTCTTCTACGGAGGAATTGGACGAGCGATGGCCGTCAAATATGGTTTTCAGTAAAGTCGTTAACGATCTGCCGTTTGATTAGGATTTATTTACATTATTACTCCTTAAACTCTTTCCATTTGACTCTACAAGTCCAAATACTTCGTAATAAATTCATTTTCGCCCTTGTAAGTATACTTTACCAGTATTTTAGACTTTTAGTCTATTATAGAAAATCCAGATGATCATTTGTCAGAATATACTTAATGTGCACCAATATTGTTTTTAGGCAAGATTTTAGGGTACTTATTACATTGATGTTTTAGACATGTATCATTAATGTCTGCGACATAAAGTTTGTATGATGTGTATTTATATGCTTTGTTTTCTTTAAAAATCTAATAAACTTAATGGGAATCATTGTGTCTAACTATATTTGTCTAGATTATTGAAATTTTAGGTGGAAATATAGGTCATTAATTTGAACTATATACTTAGTTGTTCCCCGCATTGAATTACAATGGGTGCACCAAATTTTATGTAGTGTAAAAACAATTGTAATGGTAATATATTCTCATAAGTTTATTATTAATAGTGGTGCATATACAACTTCAAAAAAATCAGAGTCTACATTGCATTAGCCATTATAGGGTTTTTAGAAAGAAAAAAAATAGCGACATGTAATTTCTTCATAAATTTTAGTAGCAATGTCTCAATGTGCTTTGTAACAATTTTTTTTTTACATAAATCATCTATTATTTTTTATGGAATTTAATTAATTCCAACTAAAACATTTATGTAGTAATTGTCGATAACATTGTGCCTACCTTAATCGTTCAAAAAAAAAATGTGATCATATGAAAATTCCCTTTTTATTGGTTGGTAAGGAAAAACTAAACATTAATACAAGAATTTAATTTGTATATACATGCCACATAATATAGTACTATTGAGTATTGATCCTACCAAACAACATATTCCCACCTAAACTCAACTAAGTGTAATGGATAATGTTTTATAAATGGTTTTTTTATCGGATGATAGTTTGTATCTATATATTTAATCTCATATCATTTTCTAACTCATCGTGAATTATGAAAAATACCAAATCCATACCATTAAAGTGATGGGCAAGTAGAAGTGGCTAAAAAATTGAGGGACTTTTTTGTCATTTTCTATTTCATGATGGACTATAGATGGGGATTTCTTACACATGTGTGAAAGAAAGTACGGACAAAATATAAGAAAAAAAAAATAGTCAATTTTGTAATACTCCATAATTCTAATGTCAAATACTCCATAATTCTAATGTCATCATGAATAAAGGTTGAAATTTGTGGGTTCGTGTCACGTATCGCAATGGATGTTGTATTTTGTGCATTGGTGGGTTTTATGTCGACAAGAGGGGAAATGTATACGTGCCATATATTTGGAAAACGGATGTCGGTTGTGCTTTTGAGTTGCCAAATTTAATTGGGGAAATGTGATGTCAAAGGCATACGAAGACTTCTAAGGTACGCGGAGTGCGCAGTACACATTCCACTGATGGAAAATTACAAAATAGCCCTCAACTACTTTTGAGAGGGAAAACAACAAGATTTTAATTATGTCGCGTCTATGACATCTATATATGTTGTGATAAAACGGTGAAAAGAACTTTTTGTTTGTTTTTTTATTTCATAAATAAATAGCAATTGTTTTAATTATGTCGCGTTTATCATATCCAGATATGTGATAAGGAAATAGACTTATTAAGGTAATTAATTTTTTGGTTTGTTCACATCTGGGTAACTATCTTTTTTTTGTATACATCTACGTAACGAACTTTTTGAAAGTGTTCACATATGACAATTATGACCCGTTGTAGCAGGATACATCCGGTCATAACTGGTCATAATGGTCATATATGAACATTTCAAAAAAGTTCGTTACCTAGATGTGTACAAAAAAAAATAGTTACCCAATGTGAACAAACAGAAAATATAAGAGTAAATTACACAAATGGTCCCTATGGTTTGGGTAATTTGTGCGTTTGCTCCCTAACTTATTTTTTTTTAACTCGAATGATCCCTACTGTTTATTTTTGTTGTGCGTTTGGTCCCTATCTTACCTCAAAAGACTGTTGTGCCATTTTTAATTAATTTTCTTATTTATGCATTTATTTTTTATATATTTAAAAAAATTAATAGACCTCACATATCTGTATCTCCTCACCCTAAACCTGAAACCATATTTGAGAAATTTAAGTTGGGTCCCACCAGTCACCATGCCATCTCTCTTCCTCAACTTCTATTTCATTTCCATCTTTAGTGAAATCGACGTCTTCACCATCCCTTCTTTTTTCGGTCTTTCAACTTCGGCGAACCAACACCACAACCTTTCTATTGGGTTGTTGTGGTGGAAAATTCAATGAAGAGACTGTGGGTTGTGGTGTTGGTTCGTCGGAGTTGAATGAACGAAAAAAGAAGGGATGGTGAAGACGTCGATGTCACTAAATATCGAAAGAAAATAGAAATTGAGGAGGATGAGAGATGACATGGTGACTGGTGGGACCCAACTTAAATTTCTCAAATGTGGTTTCAGGTTTAGGGCGAGGAGATATAGATGTGTGGGGTCTATTAATTTTTTTAAATATATAAAAAATAAATACATAAATAAGAAAATTAATTAAAAAATAAATTAAAAAGGACACAATAGTCTTTTGAGGTAAGACAGTGACCAAACGCACAATAAAAATAAACAGTAGGGATCATCCGAGTTAAAAAATAAGTTAGGGACCAAATCCACAAATTACCCAAACTATAGGGACCATTCGTGTAATTTACTCTTACATTTTCAGTTTGTTCACATCTGGGTAACTATCTTTTTTTTGTACACATCTAGGTAACGAACTTTTTGAAAGTGTTTACTTATGACCATTATGACCGGTTATGACTGGATGTAACCTGCTACAGCCGGTCATAATGGTCATATATGCACTTCCAAAAAATTCGTTACCTAGATGTGTACAAAAAAGATAGTTACCCAGATATGAACAAACCGAAAAGTTAATTACTTTAATAAGTCTATTTCACTATGTGATAAAAGAGGAAAGAACTTTTTATTTATTTATTTAATAAATAAATAACAATTTTTTTAGAAAGACTGCCTTACATTTTTATCTAATCCTACTATTAAACTAGTAGAAAGAGCATGTGCTTTGCTCTGGGCAGAATATTTTTGGATTTTGTTGGTTGCATCGTTTTGTTTAGAAGGTCATATAGAAGATGAAGAGGTTAAGTAATATATGGATTTTTCATTAAATAGTCTTCATAAAACGTTTAATAAGATGTCTAATTAAACAAATTGGAAGTACAATACTATATTTGGATAAGTTTCCATGTCTTTTAGCTAAGCCTTTGCCAGTTTGAAAGAACTACTCATTTACATCAGTGTATTTTCATTTCAACCATTTTTACATCATATATTGTGTTTGCATAAGGGAAATTGTCAGAAAAGTCCCAATATTTACGGAAAAGTAACACTTTAGTCCCATGATTTTTTTTTGAACGAAAAAGTCCTGAAAATCGACAAAAATTTACAGTTTGATCCTTTTTGACCGGTTGAAACCGTTACCAAATTAATTTGGGACTATTTCATAAACTAACCAAAAATATTAGGACTTTTCTATAAACAAAAATATTAGGACTTTTCTGTAAACAAAAATATTAGGACTTTTCTGCAAACAAAACATTTATTATTATTACTAGTATTATTATTAAACTAGTAGAAAGAGCATGTGCTTTGCTCGGGGCAGAATTTTTTTGGATTTTGTTGGTTGCATCGTTTTGTTTAGAAGGTCATATAGAAGATGAAGAGGTTAAGTAATATATGAATTTTTCATTAAATAGTCTTCATAAAACGTTTAATAAGATGTCTAATTAAACAAATTGGAAGTACAATACTATATTTGGATAAGTTTCCATGTCTTTTAGCTAAGCCTTTGCCAGTTTGAAAGAACTACTCATTTACATCAGTGTATTTCCATTTCAACCATTTTTACATCATATATTGTGTTTGCATAAGGGAAATTGTCAGAAAAGTCCCAATATTTACGGAAAAGTTACACTTTAGTCCCAAGATTTTCTTTTTGAACGAAAAAGTCCTGAAAACCGGCAAAATTTTACAGTTTGATCCTTTTGACCGGTTGAAACCGTTACCAAATTAATTTGAGACTATTTCGTAAACTAACCCAAAATATTGGGACTTTTCTATAAACAAAAATATTAGGACTTTTCTGTAAACAAAAATATTAGGACTTTTCTGCAAACAAAACATTTATTCTTATTATTAGTATTATTATTAAACTAGTAGAAAGAACATGTGCTTTGCTCGGGGCAGAATTTTTTTGGATTTTGTTGGTTGCATCGTTTTGTTTAGAAGGTCATATAGAAGATGAAGAGGTTAAGTAATATATGGATTTTTCATTAAATAGTCTTCATAAAACGTTTAATAAGATGTCTAATTAAACAAATTGGAAGTACAATACTATATTTGGATAAGTTTCCATGTCTTTTAGCTAAGCCTTTGCTAGTTTGAAAGAACTACTCATTTACATCAGTGTATTTCCATTTCAACCATTTTTACATCATATATTGTGTTTGCATAAGGGAAATTGTCAGAAAAGTCCCAATATTTACAGAAAAGTTACACTTTAGTCCAAAGATTTTTTTTTGAACGAAAAAGTCCTGAAAACCGGCAAAAATTTACAGTTTGATCCTTTTTGACCGGTTGAAACCGTTACCAAATTAATTTGGGACTATTTCGTAAACTAACCAAAAATATTAGGACTTTTCTATAAACAAAAAATATTAGGACTTTTCTGCAAACAAAACATTTATTATTATTATTATTAGTATTATTATTATTATTATTATTATTATTATTATTATTATTATTATTATTATTATTATTAAAAATATAAATAAGAATACTATTTTTTGAACTTCTATTATTAATATTGTTAATAAAACATATAAATGCATTTAAATGAAAAAATAATGACATTGTTAAAGG